GTTAATTTTGATAAATTTAAGTTTTTTTTATTCGTACTAGGAGAAATTTATAGGAGTACATAGATATATAAATGTGTGGGTAGTTATGTAAGTAAATTAAAATTGTTGATTAAACTTTGATATAATTAACAAAATAGTACATCCTATCTGAATTGCATGTTAAATAGGTATAAATTTGTAGATTATTATTTCAGGAGCGAGTGTGTGTTATCTATTGTAATAGTAGTTTTAAAAATAACAAAAGAGGGCCTCGTCAAATTGCACCATGAATAAGCATTTATTTGTTCTTGGCTCCGGTTCGGGGAAGGTCGCCCGCAGCTTGAAGGCGAACCCTTTTGTCTCATAACGTAAGTTTTATTGCTACCGAAACCAACGCGGCTTTTTGGAAACCCACTGTAATTACATTTCTAAAGAAATTCCGTATTTCAACACCATGTCGAATTGTTGGCAGAGACCAATGATTTAGCTTTCGAATTGGTATTGGTACCTATTATTATCTTTTTCCGTTTTCGTTGTTTTTATACATATAACAATTTATTTGTTTTGTATATATGTATGTACAGTGATTTAATTATTCTGTAACTTACAGTAATTCAATTGATATTCGTAAGTATGTACTGATACTTGTAAAGTAGTTGATGGCGAAGGAACCGGTTAAATAAAATAGTTTTTTTTTTATATAACTTAGAATGGCAAATAAGCTGACGGCCCACCTGATGGTAAGTGGTAACCGTCGCCTATAGACATAGCAGTACCATGGAGATAACAGAATATACTGTTTCGCCCATGATACCCCCCATGCGTTGCCATTCCTGAGGACTCAGGTGTTATTTCTCCGTACCCAGTAAATTTACGTCATATTCCACCCTTCAAACCGAAACACAGCCATGCAAACACAATTGTTTTACGGTTAAAACACGAATGGGACAGAGGTACCCAAGCAATCGACTTTTGTACAAAGTCTCCCTCTAGTGTGTGTTTCTTATATATTAATCTATATAATAGCATGGCATATATCATTGCAAATATGTATTTTAGGATAATAAGTTTACGAATCTAGTATATTACTGTAATCTAAGTATATATTGTATACCTAATACTGTAGTTTTTCATTCTTGTAGTGATATATAAAAATAATACGCGTGTCGTGGCGGTCTTTAATCAAGACAGCATTTTATAATGTAACCATATTATCATTTATTTTAAGTTGATATAAATGTATGCATTGTTGGTTGTCCTTATGTATTAAATATATAGAAGATATATGTAGATATTTTGCTCTGTGCTACATATGTATATGTCTATTCTCTGACCATATTTACCAGAAGCGACAAACTAGTTCATACCATCGTGGTTACCTCTTGTTGAATTCGTCAAGATGAACGATCTGATCCGCTTTCTTCCTCTCCTATTATCCCTCACTGGTGTTCTGCCAACGTATATTGATAACGTAGAGGAGGTTAACATTCCATTTTAAAAAATTAAAAATATGCATTACCGGACATTTTTTATGAATTATTATTAAAATAACGGTATATTGGAGGCTTGCTTACAGTAGACAACTGTAAAATACAGTTGGCAAGACAAAACATATTATTAAAACCTTGACAAAAACTTGACAATGACATGCTCTATTTTTGCATCGTAAAAATTAGTAAAATAGAGCAAATGCATTGTTCGTCTGATTTTTAGGATAAAAACGACGACGTGCGGTAATAAAGCGGCTGTTTTAAAATATTTAGTCTGTTAATTGTAACAGTAAATGTAAAAAAAGTAACTTGTGTACAGTTATCTGCTTTTTATTTATGATAAAAGTTTTCCTAGAAACTATTTTTTTTTAATTTAATGATTGTAGATTATATATCTACATCCTTATAGAATTTGAGTTTCTTAGCTCAGCGTTCTACCTTGAAACTAAAACTACTTAGGTAGGTATATATTTTAATAAAAATACAGTTTTTATATTTAAAGACTTGTTATAAAATAGAAATATAAGTTTCAATCGTGATTAAAAATTAATAAGAAAGCAAACCGTACTGAAACAGATTGCTAAAAGGATATCAAAGTCTATTACGAACTAGGCAAGATATCACGTATCATATACTTAAGCAAAAATGCCGTTGAAATAATAATTTTCTCTTTTTTGAAATTGCATAATTTTTAAAATTTTTTTTATACAACTTGAAATAGAAAAGAAACAACTTTACGATGAACAACATTATGGACGTCAGAGAAACATACTCATACCTACTCAAGAATGCGGGAACTGGAATGCAAGCATAATGTGTTGACACAATTGAGGACTAAGATTTCATGCCTGCGAACCCAGTAATTTTACTGTCGCGACATCCCATTTACCAAAGTCTGTTTGGTGCTAGACTTAATTGGAGAGGAACTTTACGAAAGTATTTAGGTATTTTTGAAAGTTTATTTTTATTATTTCACCCGATAAGTATCGGTAATAAAAACCAAACTTGTAAAATATTTGGTCGGACTACATTGTTAAAATGTAAATAAACATCTATATTTACATCTTATAGAGAGCAAATTTAGGTATACAAAATTACGTAAATTTATAAAACTAGTTCACTGACAGATACAAAGATTGGCTGACTAAGTTTACCATCACTACTTACAATACTTACATTTACCATCACTATATGATTGCATTTATTACAACATCAAATTTTTAATGTCTATTTTCAATTACGTATTGTTAATTCAATTTTATTATCTCGGTTTAGAAATATATTACATGTACATACTAAGTTTTATATATATATATATATAATTTTATAAACCTTCCAATATTTAGCTTTCAAAGCGACATCAAGTTAAATTTGAAAGATAATCTTATCTTATTATGTCGTAATATTGATATGTACCTAATCATCTTACGTGACTGATATGTGCGTAGTTATTCTATAATAACGTCACTCGATGACTTGCTATTAGGTGTTAATTCGTTAACAAACTTAATCTACTTATTAGCTATTGAAATGAACAACAGACAGTCAGGTGATTCATATAACTCAAATTGTATAAAAAATCATCGTGTAATTATCTCATTACTTGATTTAAATCAACTTTATTGTTAAAAGTAAGTACATATTATAGGTATTTTAATTTAATAACTACCAGTTTAATGTAAGTGTAATTAATCGTGAATGGCTATGACGTGATTAAGGGTTTCGAATGTTTCCGAAACTAGACGAGCATTCTCGATCTAATTACATGTAAGTTAAACTGGTAGTTATTACTTGCGTTGATGTTGCATGAAAGGTATTTATTGATAACGAATCACTTTCTGCACTTTAAAAAATATTATATGAAATGCAGTTTATATTAATTTAATAAACTTTTTGCTACATAGATTTTATGTAGGTTTTCTGTATTGAAATTTAATTGATGTGAATTAGTCATTTTTAGAAAGAAGTTCTAGAAGAAGCTTGCACATTAAGATTTGGCCGTAAATGAAGATCTTGCTGTATTTAGAACCAAATCTTAATGTGCGTTGTAGAAGTACAGTTGCTGCGTTTATTAAATTTATATTATGATGCAATAAAAAAAAAAATACGTAATAAAACTTAGATACCTATATGTTAGTTCAACGAGATATTAAACTAAATAACATGTTTGTAGCCATATAGGTAGGTACCTATATGGCTATATGCCACACTGGACATGGCAAATTGTTTTGTCCATCAAGACGAATATCACAGCTATAGTTGTTAATATATTTTTGAGATACGACGCATCTTCTCCTCATCATTATGAGTTCCACAGCCTGTTCAAATAGTGACAGGTCGTCATGCTCATAATTAGCCCGCTAACGGCAACGTTAGCGAACAATACAGACAATACGAAATTTGAATAAGATCTTATGCAGAATAGATATGGCGGGTGGCCTCTGAGGAGTGCTTGCATATGCAAGAGGCTGCGACGCGGCGCGGCGCCGCGCCGGCCGCTTTGATGTGGGCGGCAGACGCGTACAAATTTATGCTCACTGTCAATACATTAGAGGCGAGCCGCGTCGCAACTGATGTCAGCGTCAGCCGTATCTGAATAAATGAGCGCGTTTGTCCATTGTTTTTACGTGTTTTTCGATATATAAAACAGTGGACACTCTTGTATCATATATTACTTCTTACTCTGACGGCATGGCGTGTAGGCTAGAATATATGTATGTTAATCATATAAGATCATATCAATTAAAAACTGGATTTAAAAAAGGTCATTTCAAATTAAAAATGAATCTTTGTGATGAGGACATAATACTGTATCAACAGGTAATACAAAACGTAATTTGAAAAAATATACATGTTGATTGTATTACAGAAGTTATTATTATTATATATTCCCGTAGAGAAGTTATTTTATCTTTTCTGGGAGTATTTCATCATCGTTATCATTTCAGCCGTTAATTGTCCACTGCTAAGCTTTAGCCTTTCCCATAAGTAGAGTTTCGCCAGTAGTTGCTACGCTTGACAGGCGTGTTGGCAATTGCAATTACGCTTTTAGAGATGTTTTAAGAGGGATACTGCTGCCCATTCATCTACCCTTAAGTTCCTTTAGTTGCCTCTTACGACACCCACAGGAAAAGAAGGGTATACTGGGACCACATGGCCAATGTAATTGTGTCGTATACAGGTCAGGCAGGTCTTATGATGAGCTCCTTGTATAAGGTGCCCGTACTTGTATTACTGCGTCACGAAGGCCGTTAATATATTGCACAATCTTGTAAAACAGACTAGGTAAATTTCATTAATATCAATTACTTTATTGAACTTATTGCGTAACATCGTTATTAATTTATTAGTATTATTATAAATATTATCAATCAGTCTTCATATTTCGTTTGATGTTGATATCTTGAAATTAACAGCTGCAATCGAATCCGTGTGTCGGTCCGTCAGCGGCGAGCACGTGCAAACAAACCGTCTAATAATGCGGAGGCACGCGAGAGGCCGCTGTACGTGCGGTGGTCGCGTGCCCGAAGGCCCAGATCTGCCGAGCGGCAACGCGACTCGCGACAGTCGCGCGTCGACAGCGATACAAGGTGTACGTACTTGTTGCTATTAGATATAGTGGACGCTGCACGCACTTTCGTGCTGCCGTACATCACTCTGTTACGTAGGTAACATCATCGATATGCTGTGACTGTTAAAACTTGAGTGATAAGTTATAAACAATATGGTGACTGGTATTGCTGGGAGCCCCCAACAGGGTGCTTCCAACCCCGTGATGGTGGTGAACGGAAACATGAGCCCGCCGGCCGTGCAGGCAGATCAGAAGAAGTCCAGTGATAACAGAAGGGTAAGTAAAAATTATAAATATTTTAATTTAATTTAAATATGTTTTTAATATATTTTATATTTACTTTAAGGATATTTAGAAACTTAATATGAACCATTTAAAAAAAATAAGTATTATATATTATTCAAAACAAATTATTTATATAGCCAATAAATAGTTACTTAATGCCAAGTGAATGGAAAAGGTTAGGTAGTTAAGCATTTAATAAATAAAAAAAATCTAAGGGTTATAACTAATGGTATGCTCTGACCAAATTGTCAAAATAAAACAGTTATCGAAATATTTTTCCTATACTGAAGACATCAACGCGTTGCTATTTTTTGACCTCACAATTTTAACTAAAATTAACTTTTATTGAATTAATTTTTTATATAAATATTTATATTTTATTTATTATATTATCGATAGTTTATCATTATTCATCTTATAGGTATTTTTATACAGTTTATTTACTTGTATACTTTTCATTCAGTAGAGAAATTCAACAATATTGCTTTTTACTAACTGCCTTTTTCCCCTCTCTTTGAAGGGGGAAATTTATTTACCAGAGGGAGATTTTGTACAAAAGTCGATTGTTTGGGTACCTCTGTCCCATTCGTGTTTCTACCGTGAAGCAGTTGTGTTTGCATGGCTGTCTTTCGGTTTGAAGGGTGGGATATAACGTGAATTTACTGGGTACAGAGGAATAACACCTGAGTCCTCAGGAATGGCAATGCATCGAGGGTCATGGGTATCATGGGTGAAACAGTATACTCTGTTATGTCCATGGTACTGCTCATGTCTATAGGCATGGTTATCACTTTCCATCAGGTGGGCCGTCAGCTTGTTTACCATTCTAATTTGTATAAAAAAAAATATAATGAATTGTGTTTACGTACGAGTATTAAATGATTGTCGGAATATGTAGTCAACACGGTTTGATGAATTTTAATAAATAGTTAATTGAAATAATCTTAATTGTGGGAATACTATACACTGTTAAAACAATAGTTTAAATTATACATAGCGAACATGCGAAATTTATGAGTTAGGATTTTATGAATTGTCGGATCAACTTGTTTAGTGACACAGGGTTGCCAGATGCTATTTTTTATTTTTACACAAATATCAACATTTTATTTTTCAAATAGATACGGGTTTTTTACTTTTAATTAATCATAAAACAATTTAATCACAAAATGAATGAGAAAAAGCTCTTTCATACGGTTTATTTTTTTTAGCCTACTATAAAAAAAATTACCTATCCAATTTTCGATTTTGTTTATCTAAAAATGCAAGAACAATACTTAACGGATTACAATGAAATATGGAATACGAGTAGGTTATATCTTAACTTAGCACATAAAATACTTTATGTACTAATACATGCCGACGATCTGTTTTTATAACTCTAATGTATTCTTATATAAATATAATCAATTATATTTAATAACGTATAATATATTAGAGATTATAAATGAGAAAGTTTGTAAATAAGATGGACGTTTGTTACCCATACTACACGGATAAACCAAATCCTAGATTAACAATCACAGCATACAATAGTAGTACAAATAATATAAAATACTACACTTGTACAGATCTTCTTAAGCAGTATATTACTTTTATACATATGTACTTTATAAATATAAAAGTGATTTCTGATTTAAATCAGATAAGATTTAAAAAAATTATGTTATAGTAGTGTCTACAGTACCGTACTAATATTCAAAGAATACCTTAAGTTTAGCATTAATCACCATTTTATGCCTTTTTAGAAAATTTTACCGAACTTAAACTGCAACCGTTTTACAAACTTTTATTTAATTCAGTATGTTCCGTCTTAAATCTAATTTTTTTTTTAACACTTGCTGGTATCAGATTTTGTTGAAATTTGGCATACTTATGTAAGTTCGGCAACAATATTATATTGATGATGAAAACGGTAGTTGACAAATTCATCGTATTTGGGCTTTTTTGATTTGTCTTGGCAAAAACGGGAACAGAGTTTGATGCAAAAAAGGCTGTAAAAGCATGTTTTTAAATTGTTTTTTATTTGTACAAACTATTAAACAAAATATCCAAATAAAAGTAAAATAATATAAAGGTAGGTCGTGACGACTAATTTAGACATAATTTATACTTTGAGAGTAGCTCCATTTTGCTGAATGTGACAGTGTCACGTTTTAGTTTTAGCATGCCGCCACCGCCACGAAGAGTGCAAAGCAGTAGGTCACGCGCGCAGCGTTTTCGTGATGCGACAAAGTTAGAATAAGGAGCTATCATAGCGCTGTACACTAAGACTCTCACACGAGTGTTTTGTATGTACAATTATTAAGTGTTAATTGAAAATTTTGACGAAATGCCCACTTAGTCTTGAAATCTTTTATTTTCGTCTTAGATTCACTTGCCCCACCTATTTCACAACTTTACAAACAGATATTATAAATGTGAAAATTTGTTTGTTTGTAACCTCCTAGTGTGTTAACAGCTTACCCAACCACTATGGAATTTGATATGTACGTATCTACTATATATCCGTATGATACCAACATAGAACAAGCCAACCCTTACTTTCCCGTGAGTATCGTAAGAGGAGACTAAGGTAGGGCGAGGGATAGGCAGTAGCGTCCCTCTTAAAACATCTCCAAAGCCTAACAGCGATTGTCAATGCCCTTGACAAGCGTGGCGACTACTGGCAAAATCCCCCAAGGGGGAGGGAACAATTCAGCAGTGAACAGTTAGGGGCTGACTTGATGTATCTTTTATATGGGATGGAGAAGGAAGTTTATTACTTTTCCTATTAAGTCGTGAGTAAAACCTACTCTTTTATAAATAGGAGATTTGGAAATTTTAGCGGCATAGCGGTTTAACATACTGCCTCACTTTTAGTGATTGTGGGTTCGATCTCCGTATAATACGAACATTTATATTCGTGACTGTATGTGTTTATATTGGTCTTGGTGTTTTCTATGTCTAATAAGTGGGTAAGCATTTAGAAAAACAAAACGTATTTATCTAAGTATGTCTATCTGTTGTATAGTATCTATCCCCATTTAAATACAAGCTCTGTTTAGTTTGGTACTGTGTAAGATATCCAGTAGTGTTTATTAATTATTTCATCAAATGTATGGATTTAGAATCATGCAGGTGGCTCAGGACCGTTCCTTATGGCAGTCTATGGGAGAGGCCTATGTCCAGTAGTAATGATAATGGTTGAAATAATGATGATGATGATAGAATCAGAGTGAGATTAATTTATCAATTTAGAGAACTATTGACACATTTTTAATATACTCGTATGCGTTTGTCTGTCTGGCATAGAATAGGTCTTTATGTCGTGTGGGTGTCGTAAGTGGCGAGTAAAACAACTTAATAGTAGAGGGATGGGCAGTAACGTCCCTCTTAAATAATTTCTAATAACCTAACTGCGGTTGTCAATCCTCCTGCCAAGCGTGGCAACTACTGGCAAAACTCCCCCTAAAGGGAAGGCTTGTATTCAGCAGTGGACAGTTAACGGCCAAAATAAATCTTTACATCCATGTGTTATTCTAATTTACTAACCTGTACTGCTCAGTTTGTTCCCACTTATCAGGCTATTTCTCTGCTCAATTCTCTGATTGCTCAGCAGCCAGATATTGATATATTTAATGACAAATTAGATATATTTTTTAAATATTGTTTAAAAACTTTAAGATTGTAAAATATACCTATGGCTTACTACACGTTTTGGGATACTGTTGTGGTGAGTAATTTATAAATAAATAAATAAAACCTTACAACAATACTCTGAATAAAACTATTGAAAGCTCTCTGGCTAGTGTAGTAACAGTAGGCTGATCTCTTGTAGATGCAAGATATTTGTTTATCATTAAGATGTATAATATAATATTGAAATGTTCACAAAATAGGTGAAGATTTCTTCAGGGTTCGCAACGTGCGCGAAGTACCCCTCGTATTGCAGACGTGCATTGGCTACGGTACAGATAATATATTACGCTACGGTAACCGCAGGCAGGCTGTATACTTGTTTGCCTCCTTGTGTGGTATAAAAAAATGTTTATAGCTGGATTACATAAATATGTGTACTTTGGGAATCTAATTGTGTAGAAATATATTTTTATCTATGACTAAGTGGCGCCACTGAAAAGTATTTTTTAAATAATGTTTTGACTTCGACATTGTGCTATTTGCGAACATATGCCATTCAAAACAAATAGAGGACAATTACAGAGCACTTGCGCTGAGATTATCATGTAGATTATGATAACGCGGCGGCGCCCACCAGTTGTGTTTGATTGTCACCGCTTGGCTTTATATCTTGTTTATGGCCAAGATTAAAACCGAGACATAAATTTTATATTTAGATGAGAGGTTGGTTTGATAGTCTGACACATTTGAATAAATGAGTTATAAAATGTAATATTTCGTTTTACATGCCTTTTAGGTGGGCATAATTTTTTATCTTTTAAATTCAAATTTTAATTTAGTAATTTACCAAAACTTTTATATTATGAATTGTAGTTTTGTCACTATTACCCCTTAGTACTTTAAATGTTTGACTAATCTTTATTAAATTTAGTATAAATACACGTATTTGGTATTTATTTGCTATGAAAAAGGTTATAGGTTACTTTTTTATCCTAGTTAGTCAATACATTATGATTACAAAGACAAAATTACTATTAAATCTAGTTAATAACGAAACTTTGTCATACACGACTTGATATAATGGTAAAGTAAAGAATATGATCAATAGTAAAAAAAAAAAATGATTTGCTAGTACTAACATCCATTTAATTACTGAATTCTGTTAAAATTTTGTTTACGTAAATATACCTGAAATATACCTGATATTCAAGAATTTATATAAATAATTTACGATATTTTTTACAGTAAAAGTAGATAACAACTTCAAACTACTTCAAATGCACTTTGTACCTACGTAAATAAGTACTTTAAACAAATCTACTACACAGATACTACGTATAAAGGTAGTCGTTTGTCACATAACACCACCC